CCCTTCCTTGCTGTTGTGCAGCATGCTCTGTGCTAATTGGCCGCTGTCCTCTGCCCAGCTGTGGTGTATGTATCTTGTTTGAAGCACTTCTGAATGACAGGCACCATAGAAATGTAAAATATTATCTTTCGCCCATAACATAACCCTGCAGTTATTGAAATTATCCTTGTACTTACAGTCCATCCTTCAGGAGTTCTCATTATGCAATTGTTTTCTCTTGCCAGCACACTGTTGCTTTAATCAACAGTATTTTGGTATGAAAGAGATGGTAGCAAATGTCGTCTCACGTGAGAGGACAGCCTTATTCATTATTCTGTCCCACTGGCCATTGCTTTGTTTGTAGCTACCAGGTAGGTTTGAGAATGCCTAGTTATTGCCCAGTGTTTATCTGTGCCCTTCCCGGGGTGTTACATTTTGTCAATACTGTGTATAGCCTGGACCTCTGATTACAGTTTTGGGGGCAGTGTGAGTGATTTTTGCTGCCGTGCTGTGTATTGACAGTCAGATTGCTAATGCAGTGTGGAAAATCGTCCCCCTTTTACCCTCAGGTTTTAACCAAGAAGAAGTTGCAGGACCTGGTGCGAGAGGTGGATCCCAATGAGCAGCTGGATGAGGATGTGGAGGAGGTAGGCCATATGTGACAACCCGTACCAGTAAAATGGGACGTGCAGAGCCAATCCAGAGCTGTCCTAGCCCCTTACCCAATACAGGGAGGATTGGTTCATACTGTTGTGCTGTTACACAAGCTCTGGTCAGCATCAAACATGGTGCTGAAGATCCATATACATTGCTGGTGCTCAGAGGTATTTGTTCTGATTTATTAACCTGGTCTCTTGCTGGTGACTCTCTGACATCCCAGGGGATTTTCCTGTAGGGTGTGGTCAGACTGTTTTCAGCAAGCAGTGGCTCCTGAGGGCTGAATTTCATAGTGGTCCCTACATTGTTTGACTGTAACAGTCATCCAAAAAAGAATGTGAAGGGGTTTGAGGTGCTGCTTTCTTCAACCCCCTACTCCCCCACAGATGCTGTTGCAGATTGCTGATGATTTCATTGAGAGCGTGGTGACAGCTGCCTGCCAGCTCGCCCGACATCGCAAATCAAACACTCTGGAAGTGAAGGATGTCCAGCTGCATCTCGGTAAGAGATTCGTATCTTGTCAGTGAGGAGACAGAACTGAGGGATAGAAGTACCTGAAAAGGGATTATCCCCGCTAGACCTTGGGGTAGGGATCTGGATACACCCTACACAACCAGGGCAAACCCTGAATAGAGACATTTGAGGGAAATAGTTTAACGGAAATGTGTGGAAGCAGAGACGTGGAGGAGGCTGCCCATTTATGAATTTGAGCCTCGGGTGGCTGTCTAGGCATTCTGCTGGCAATCAGGGACAAGTTAAATGTCATTATGTTTCTCTTCCTCCAAACTCCCCTATTCCTATGCACGGGCTTGCCATTTTGTACCATTCTGCAACCTGGATTGTGAGGTCTCTGGTGTAGGGGCTGTTTATAATAGGTGTATATAGTATCTAGGCCAATGGGACCCTGACTCAACTCCTTAAATGAAAGCACAATACAAATAATAAATAACCTTTAAGTGCCTTTAGTCACTGGAGTCTGGATTCCCCGGCACCTCCATTTCTCACGAAATATCTGCAGCCCTGGCACCAGGGGGGTTCACTGAATAGTTCTTACTATATTTCTAACTAGTCCTTATTGTTCTGGTACGTTGAGGGCTTCCCTGTGTTGGGCATTCTGCACAGCTTTCTTAGGCAGTGATCTGTGCTTTCTGTTCCAGAGCGCCAGTGGAACATGTGGATCCCAGGTTTTGGTTCTGAAGAAATCCGGCCATACAAAAAAGCCTGCACTACAGAAGCTCACAAACAGGTGAGGAGCCCCTGGTGAATGAACTAATAGCCAAATGTAGGGGGGTCAATACAAGCAGAGTCCTTGTCCAACTCCCCCCACGCATGCCAGTGCTGCTCTTGTATTGCGGCCAAGAAAGAAGGGAGCTTGGATATTCTTTTAGACTCCCCCTGCAGTGTGCTCCCAAGGCTGCGACAATCTCAGCAAGGAGTCTCCCTGGCTTAAGGTTCTTGCTTCTAACTGGTGGCCACACCCTTCAAGTTGCGGTAGAGAGTCAGTTGTTGGGAGACCCCATAGGAGACATTGCCAGTTTGTCATGCTGGCTCCCTGCACAGTGGACCTTGCAGTTAACATGTGATGACAGTGCTGGAGAGCAATTCTCACCTAGCCTCTGACGCTCCAAGGAGGAGCCCAAAACAACCCTTCATCCACAGGCAGTTAAGCGGTCAGGGAGAAGGCACTCAGTTCAGGAGCCAAAACACAACCATGGCCTGAGACAATGCTGCATGACTGGTTTGGCATGGTCCATTCTGCCTGGAGCCAACATACATGTGAATAGCCAGAAAGCTCTCTCTCCAGAAGAGTTTAAAAATCCATGTTGACTGGAGGGAATCCCTGTCTGTAAAACCGCGGGAGTCCAGGGATGCCGTTTGCATACTATGATCTGATGGCTCTGTCAGCTCATGGGAGCAGCCATGTGTGTATGTAACAGTGACCCAGGTTTTACTGAGCTACTGCAGGCCAGCTGCAGGGTCCCTTCCACTGGAAACAAACGGTTACTGCACAACGTGGCAGCAAGTGACTTGTTGCCATTGTATATGGGGCAGCTGAAAATTGTTTCCTCTCCGACCTTAAATATCTGGCTGGGGGCTCCTCTTGGAAGAGCACTTGTGCTTGTCCTGGAATTTCAGCTGTTAGTTACTTGTTCAGTACTGGTTTCTGTCTTGCTCCTAGTTTGGAAGTTGCTGGGTTTTTTTTAAGTCAAAGGCCAAAGCCATCAATAAAAGTCTCTACACCCGTGAAACAGCCAGCCTGATAATGTGACAGCTCCATTTCTGACACGGGGGATAAAATGCTGTGCGGGTGTGGACCGAGGGCCTTAAAGTGGATTTTGATTCAGTGCACAATACAAGTAAAAGATTTAAACTGTGCTAGTGACTGAGTGAAATTAGGATTAAGGTAGAATCACCAAACCGAAATGATGACTCCAGACAGACTTTCTGCCAAGGAGAGAAGCACAGACTCTCTGAAAAACTTTTTAAACTTTCTGGCTATGGCTCTATCCAAGCTAGGATTCAAATAGACTTAAAGAACCATCTTTAAACCCAGGTCGGGCTAATTCATGGTAGAACATTGCCTACAGGCATGTACAAGCCTGAGAAGGATCCAGGCTGGACCATTTCTCAGCATGGCTTATAGTTTGGCCTCTCCCACAAGTCAGACAAATCAAGTTACAAATGGATTTAGCTAGACCCCATCTTAACTGTTAAAATGTGGCTTCCAAAGTGTTTAAAGGCCATCGTAGACAGGGCTTGTGTCTGTAGTTCTTGATACATCACCACTGTTCACCAGAGCTTACTTTCAACATATGGTATTGCATAAACAACCTGTTGTGGACCCTGTGTTTCTTCAATCTCATTCCTATATAGCCATGTTCCCAGCTTGATTTGGAAATAACCATGTTCCAGACTCTCAGTGCCCTGTATTTTTCCCTTTTTCATTTCAGAGGATGGCACTGATCCGCAAAACAACCAAGAAATAACCCCTAGGAATAGCAGGAAGACAACTGTGCGTTTTGGGATATCTGCCTCTAAGCTGAAGCCTCCATGACACCATCCATGGGATATTTTTTTTAATGCTTTACAGAGAAGCATATATTTTTTATTAACAGCGCAGCAATATCTATGACTTTATGAGGAGATTGGCCAAAAACCATTATATGCCCCCCTTCCCCAGCCCCCCATCAGAGCACATTGTATCTTGAAACAAAGACTTTATTTGTGACCTTTAAAGTGGTTTATCGTATAAGTGATTGATTGTCCAAGGAACAGAGCATTTTGGTCTTGTTTGGGACGGTATTAGAAGCATTTGTAGAGATTTTCGTTTTTCCCCCTTCCCTCCTGCCAGTTCAAGTACTTTGTAATGTCAGTGTTTATATAAATACTTGCATTTGTTTTACATTAATAAAGAAATTATTAATCTAAAGCTGGACATAGTCTCGTGCTTCTGCATTTGATGTGTTTACAGCACCTCATTTAAAACTCTAGGCAGTAGGAGAGGGGCTGCTTGCTGCAGGGATGTTTAAAGGACGTGCCAGGTTTAGGTTCAAAATGGAAGGGATTGTTCTTGCACTGGTAAGAGACAACACAGACCATTTTGCCTCTAAGCCAGATGAAATCCGGCCGAGGTGAGTAGTGACCACAAGTCCTACCATCTTTTGGCTGTTTGGCCTATTTGAAATAAACTAATGGGATCTGTCCAGTTCCTAGTGCACAAAGGTTCACATTAAGACCGACTGGAGCCCTGGCTGCCAGTTGCAGCAGAGTGGCCAAACACTTGGTGAGTCATGGAGACCGGACTTCCCTCTGGTGCGGATCAGGGATGGTGGGATGGAAGCATGTGCTATTCCATGGTCAAATGGACGTCTTCAGTCTCCAGGGCTGTCAGTTGAGCACATTTCACCAGCACATAACTCACTTTAAAACTGTTTAGAAAAGAAATTGAAGCTCAGGCCACAAATTTGACCCTAGTAACTCTGCTAATCAGGTGGGAAAGGTTCTTCAAATTGCAAACAGGAAAGGGGAGGGGTGTTCTTAAATCTGTACCTCTTGAGTTTTGGGTCGACAAGCATGAAATTGAAAGCTGCCCTCAAAGGCTTTGAAATATATAGGTGGTCCTAAAATAAGAGCTTTCCAAACTAAAGGCCGCACCGCAGATAAAATCCAGACTTATCTGGTTGGCCCACTTGTTACCTGGGGTTCTTTGAACCCAAAGCTCTTGGTAACTTTTACCTGGGGTTCTTTGAACCCAAAGCTCTTGGTAACTTTTACTCTGTGCAAGGTGGTGTCAAGAAATAAATCAGGGGAGACACGGCCGTCCGAGCGATAGATGGCTGGCACAAACAGGACAACACGAGTGCTTTCACTTAAAGCTAAACTTTACTTAGTCTCAAGCACTTACACACGTCCGCAACAGGTTAGTAAAACACCCCCAACCCTCGATAATTACTGAAGCGGAGAGTGACTTTCGAGTGGCATCATGACAGGCTTCCCCTGGCCAAACTTCCGTCTGCCGGTGGGGACCCCAAGGTGCCTCCAGAGGGAGCGTTCCTGAAGAGCCCCTTCTGAGAAGTCCAGCTACCTCAAACCCGTTCCCTTTATTTATACATTAATAATACAATGACATATCCCTTAAAGAAAACTTGCTAAGCAAGCAGTTTTTAAAGGTCAAGCAAGAGGTTTCCTTCTGATCATCAATTTAACCAGATATGATGTTGTTGTTTTTTCCAAAGTGTCAATGCCTTGGGGCCCTGACAAACATTCCCAGGGGCACATATAAACAGACGTCCTGTTTTTCTAAAATAAATATATCCGCAATTTCAACATTCTTAGGAAGGACGCAGGGTCAAGCTGCCCTGTCTGTGGCACCCAAAACTCTCTTCCCTCCTGCCTTGGTTATGCTAAGGCTGCTGCATGACCAATTTACGGCCTGCTGACTGGCTACTTTCAGCAATAAGCTAAAAGCAATAGTGGTTTCGGGCACTTTACTGGTTTGCCAAAATCTCTCCAGACACACTGTCTTAAAAACTACATTCAAATGTAAACCTATACAAAGCATGTTTATTGCAGTAAGGGAGGGGATTTTGCAAGAATCCTGCTGAGATTGGTTAATGTCGTAAGTTCAGTGCCTGAACTCTTATTGACAGCATAGGCAGAGTCCAAAGTGTCCGAAATTGCCATTGTGATACCTGACATGGTCCTTCCAAAACGGGGATTCAAATTCATAAGTGTGAATGTCATCCGTTCTCTGTGCCCCGCTAATACTCGGTCTTTCCGCTGAGACTGCCATTGTAGGGGCCAGTTGTAGAGATGGTTCTTTATGATGTGGTTTAAAACAGTGGATCCCAAACTTCATTGGTTCATGTGCCACTTTCTTAAAAAATTGTTGTGAAGTGAATGGATGGAACATCAAGTTTGGGTACCACAGTCTGGTCTGGAAACTGGTTGGAGACCTGCCCAATTCATTTCCTAGAGTGGTCACCTAAAAAGCCAACAGATCTTAAGTTTAAAAAAAAAAATAGCGATCAGCATGGTCTAGATTCTAACCAGTAACCTGGAGGTGAAAGTTACTCTGTTCTGTCTTGAAGGCATTTCATTATCTGGCGTAGTCACAAGAACACAGCCTGTGGAAATAGCCAGTCCTGTTGGTCTAGAACCAGATTGCTAAATCTAAGTGTTAGGCCTGAGATAGAAGCTGCTTTGCCCGAATAGTGACTGTTTTCATATTAGAAACTTGCGGCCTTGTTCCTAGGCCGTGTCCTTTCAAGCGAAGGGGAAGTCCAGTGACATGAGAGGGACGTGGTGGCAGGACAACCTGCAGCAAAACACCACTTACTGTTAACTTGAGGGGTTTAACATGAGGAGCCGCATTGATGAGAATGGGAGAAGGTGGGGGTGCTTCATATGCTGTTGCTGGGTGGCTCTGTAGACTCCGAGCTGAACATCAGTGCTGGGAAGTGCTTCACAACCAGGATGGCTGGAAAAATGTTTAGTCTGTAGAAAATGCAGCATCCATGGAGATTCTAAATCCTCCGAATCTGCAGACACCTCCTGAGTCGCGGTTTGTCACTTGGGGGACACTTGCCATTTTCATTGGCATGTTTATTGTTCTAACCGTTAATGCTAAAGGCAACCAGAAATATGAATAAAATGTATTTAACTTTGCATCCAAGTGTAAATTCCAGTCTTTTCCAGTGCCTAGGCCATTGGATTCCTATTTGGAATCTCCTCCAAGCACAAAGGGGGCTGTGTAATCCTGCAGCCTTTGAACATGAGTGGATGGAAACATTACCTGTCCCAAGTCTGTTTGTTGCCTTCGCTGGGAGAGGTTAACGGGAACTACTAGCCTGTTAGAAGAGGCTACTGTGACTGTCCTTGCCTGTCCTTGCATATAGTGTTGCCCGGCAGCCAAGTCTTATACGGGAAGGTGGGTGATGATAGCTCACTCTGGCTTCTTAGTCTACAATGTCTGGCTAGCACGAGCACTTCTTCTGCTTCTCTTGTTTTTCCAGGTTCTGTACTTTGGGCTCCTCTGTGGGTGGCAGTCTGCTTTTCACCCCATCCCAATCCTTGTTTGGGCTCAGCATCCCAGCCTTCACAGCTTCATAGATCTCCACGGTCAGCAGCTGGAAGGCATCATCCACGTTGCTGTTGCTTTTAGCGGATGTCTCTATGTACTTTGCCCCCAGTGAAGAAGCCAGCTTCTCGGCCTCCTTTCGCTCAACCTGGCGCTGCGGCACCAGGTCACTCTTGTGCCCAACCAGCACAAAGACCACGTGAAAAGGTTTCACTGTGTCTGTCACCTCCCGATGCCACTCCTTGATGCTCTCAAAGGATGCTTGGTTGGTCAGGTCAAACATCAGCACTGCCCCAGCGGAGTTGCGGTAGTAAGAGCGAGTCACTGACCTAGGACACGAGGAGGGAACGGCATGAGACTCTGCATTCTCTTATTGCTTTCCTAAGATCTTTATGGCACAGAGGCAGCGCAGACTACCTTGTGGAACTGCTTGGAAAATGTTTTTCTGCAGAAAATTTCAGCTTTTTGGTGGAATATCGAAAACCAAAACTTAAATTCAGAATGGCACTGTACTGTCTCATGGGAATTGTAGTTCAGGTGCCTTATTCTGACTAGACTACATCTCCCATGATGCACCACTTTTCCCTATGGTAGTGAGAAGTGATGCGTACCATAAGAATCCCTGGTCATGGTGCATCATGGGAGAGGTAGTCTGTGTAGAGAGCCCACCCAGAGAGGAGAATGGCAGCATAAAGCCCCTGATCTACAAGTCCTGGGAGATGGCTGGGTGCCATTTTGAATGAAAATTCTTTAGGTTTGGGACAATCATTTTTTTAACTAAATGATCTGAGGAAAGCTACTTCTCGTGTCAAAACAAAAAAACAGCAACCCCAAAAGAAAACCCTGCATTCCATGGAAAACTTACGTGTGTGTGTGTGTGTGTGTGTGTGTGTGTGTGTGTGTGTGTGTGTGTGTGTA